AGCCATTGACCTGCAGCAGGCCGAGACAGTGACTACACTTTCCAGAGCAGCCATGAAAAATCTTCTATCGCAGACAGCTCCAGCTGCTGCTCTGGCAAAGATCACAGAACCATCTACAAAGCCTGGGCAAGATTTTAACCCTTTCATTACCCAGATAAGACTTGCAGATTAATCCTTTTTTTCTCAGAGAGAGAGAGGAAGAGAGTGATCAACAGGTAAAGAGACAGCATAAGCTATCAAAGACAGTGAAGAAAAGAATTAAGCTTCAGATGGGGAGAGAAATAAGGAGATGCTTTAATAAGCTGAAATATTCTTTGGCTAAAACTATAGAGATGGATAATAGTGTTCTGAAAAACTCCTTTAATTCATGAAAGAGTATTTTGGGGGGAAATGGAGTATTTCAAAGAGTAGATTTAAGAAAATGGTGAAGTAATTGTGATCTTATGTGATGCTGGAACAGAAACGGAGAAGTGAGAGTTGTTGAAAATTTGTGGCCTTTAAGAGGCAAAGAGAAAACTTCTGTTTCCAGAGATGCTCACAGAGACAGATGAAGGGAATTTTTGCCTTTGAATAACTCATCCTTAAAATGACACCCCTTGACCTCATGGCCCACGAACACACCTCAGAGTGGTGTGAAATGGGAGGAGAGGACTTGATGGCAGAGTTTTCCAGGCGGCTGGCATCAGAGAAATAGCCATGAGAAAATGGTTTTCTTGTGAAAAGCTCCATAGATTGACAAAAGAGAACTTCTTTTTCTCTACAAAGACTGATGAAAAGACCATAGCAAAGTTGGGACTGTTTTAACCACCAGGGTTTTTTTTTCTCTATGTTGTCAATTAAACAAAGGAATGGTTGGGTGGTAGGGAAAAAGGGTTTCTGGAGGTTTTATTCTGGTTTCTTATTCTTGTAGTTTTGTTAATAAACTTCCTTTATTCCCTTTAAGTTTTAAGCCTGTTTTGCCCTTTTCCTGATCCATATCTCACAGCAAGAAATTAGTACGTTTTCTAGTGATTTTTTAGGTAATGCTTTAAAACCACAACACCCCCCACCTGCCCCAATACATGGACAAAATACAAGGCAGCTTCAGTTACAGTTCTTGTGTTTTGGGTGCTTGGATCATCAGTCTTAAGGCTTTTCTCAAGTCTGTAATGAAGAAGGGATTAAAACAGGGGTGGGAGGTATTCTTGGGTTCCACTCAACTGAGCAGGCTAAAACTTTTTTTAAAGTTAATTGATTTGCAGTCTGAGTGTTATAAATACATATTATAATATTGGCTTTTTGCAAAATATTGAAATGGATGTTATATATATAATGTTAAAGTAATTTTGTTATAGTTTTTTATTTCTATTATCTAAACTTAGGCATAGTAGTGGAATAGCTGATAGTTACGCTTGAGCTGCCTGCTTGGTTGGGATAACATCCAACAGACATATTATGAAGACCCCTGCTACCAATATGCCAGCTATCAGTACCTACCATCTGTAGAAAGTATGGACCAAAACCCAAGCTGGAGGTGATAATAAGAATGAACTAAAACCACAGCCAAGAAATGCACATGCTCTAAAAAGGTGGTCCTGAGGAGGAGCCATGCTAAACAGTTCTTAGAACGTGTAAACTAGTTTGGAGAAGAGTTTATATATGTGTAATTGTTTATGAATATGTAACAGGCTGATGCAATAGGAAAGATATAAAAAGGGTATCTCTGAAATAGCAGGTGTGCTATTGGCAGAATGCCAAGCACCCAGCCACTAAACTTTGCTTTATTATCTTTGTCTATGTCTTTTATTAAACCTTTAAATTTTACGGGGAAAGTGTACCTTGTTTTTCGCATGAGTAAAATGAACCTCTGAACAGGAGGTCATGAGTGAGTTCGTGGAGGCAAAAAGCATTTCACTGCCATGGTGGATTTTGCTGCTGCAGCAGCTCTGAACTTTTATGATTGCTGCAGCTGCCTGATTGTGGCTGGTGCAGAAAAGCGTCTGAAGCCTTCTTGATTGCACAAATACATAAAGAAAATCCAGAAGCCCATATTGGGTTGAACTTTGTTGATAACTAGTGAGGCCTGAGTAGAACATCTTTCTGAGTCCTGTAACTTATCCCTCACAAAAAACTTCCCACTGGTTTTTCAGAGCTGTATTGTGGATGATTTCCTGTCTGCCACCTCCTTCCTCCTCCTCCTTCCTCCTACTTCTTCCTTCTCCTCCTTCCTCCTCCTTCTCCTCCCTCTCCTCCTTCCCCTCCTTCCTCTCCTCCTCCTCCTCCTCCCTCTCCTCCTCCCTCTCCTCCTCCCCCTTCTCCTCCCTCTCCTCCTTCCCCTTCTCCTCCCTCTCCTCCTCCCCCTCTTCCCCCTTCTCCTCCCCCTCCTCCCCCTCCTCCTGGCTTTGAGCTTGATCCTCTCCTCTCTGGACGTCTGGCTGACTCTTCCACAGCAGACGTTAAGGCTTAATTTTTCTGGCAAATCACTTAAATCCTAAATCAGCATTCAGGGACTGCTTGACTGTAGTGCTTCCCAGTCCCAGAGAGTCATGTTGGCAACCTGTGTTTCTAACACATCATCTAACACACTGCAAATATTTATCGACTGCTGTTTTCTTCTCTGTCATGGCATAATGAGCAGCCAAATATTGATTTATCTATGTATTTGTCTACTGAATAAATTCTACCCTTGTATGTAATTTAGAAAAAATGTAGATACCAAGTGGTGGTGCACTTCAGCTGTCTCTTTACCAGGAAGAGGTGAGAGAACCAGGTGCTAAGCAAACCAAAATTAACTTGGTTGGCAAGTGTGTTTCCCAGAGGCAGAATGTGCCAGACTAAAATCCAGTAGTTTAGCTGGTAGACTGATGCTATAATCAATCATATATCAGGACTTCAGGACTGCAAATTTGGGAAGAACCTTTCAGTGAGGGATTTGCTCTTGAAAATATTTCCCCTCAAACCTGAATCTAGTTTGGAGGCAAGGTAAGCCGGAGGGTGACATTTGTCAAACACATGGAATTTGGACTATGGAGGCAGTTTGGAGACAAGCATGACTTAGCATTTGCTGATAAAAAAACAAAACTTTGAAGCCAAATCGTTTGTACACATCTTTAATGTATTTTAGTGATTTACCTTCCATATCTAACTCTACTTTTAGATCAATGGTTAGCTTTTAGCACCAGTGTTGGAGTAAGTGAAGGAAGGAGGAAACACCCCAACCTTCCCGCCACCTCCTCCCACACCTTCCCCTCCCAAATACCCATCAAACCAATGATGCAGAGGCAATCCCTCACCAGCTCCCTATGCTAAACTGGAACTGCAGCTGTCTACACTGGCTTTGCCAAAATTGTTACTGATGGGATTTTATATAATGGCAATGAAAAGTGTAACATCCCCATAGCACTGTATTACATGCCTTGGTTCTTCCCTCACTGGATGTCTGCTTTCTTTATGTTTCTGTACATGCTTTGTGTAAACCCTTTTAAAAATGATACCATATGCTGTGGTAAGCTTTGAATGCTCTTGGATGGCTGGGGAAACAAGACCTTTGTGTAATTCTGAAGATGTTTTTTCTACAGTAAATAACTTTTAAGATAATTTAAATTTGAAGTAAAAATTCAAAGGCCACTGTTTGTGTTTACCAAAGTGATGATACCTGATGATAACTCTGCCAGCATTTTGGGCTTATTTTTGTTACATAGGAGTTTTTGCCTAAATTTTGATGATTAGACTGAGCAAGTGTGATGACGTATGAATTCTTGGTTTTGATAGATTTCCAGAAGAAACAGCCAGACGATGACTCTACTCCCAGCACAAGCAACAACCAGTCAGATTTGTTCTCTGGGGAAACAAACAGTGACAACAGCAATACCTCTCTAAATACACAGGCCGCTAACTCCAGCCAGCAACTTTTGACAGAACTGAATGTAACTTCACCGAGCAAAGAGGAATGTAAGTTCACGAGTCCTAAGTGAAAGCAAAGGAGGCATAAACAATTTGCTTTGTTCTCAGGTTTATGTTTCACTGACTCCCTCTGGATGTTAATGGCCTGGCTTTTGGGGTGAAGGAAAAGGTTAGAAGCTATTCACAAAATAGACATTGATGGCTTTAACTGAAGAACAAATAGGAGTTTTTTACTAAGTTTACATTTGATGTATTGTATTTCATATATATGGAAGCCATTTGATTCTTTCTTGGGAAAGAATTTAATTGTGAGAAACTCCTTCTCACATTAGTGGTAAATTCATATGTATATTCCAGCATCAAGACCAGTGTCTTGTGAAATTTGACTTCTAAACATGTTGATTTTTAATTACTGTAGTTTCACATAAGACTGACTGTAATGCGTGTTTTAGACTGCTACTTGCATATAACCTGTTTCATGTGGTAATTTATCTATTCTTTCATAACCCATCTTTTGTCTATATTGAACTGTCAGGCAAAAATTCTCCCTGAAGGTAAGGTAGAATGCTTAGCAATCACAGTGAGATAAAATTGACTTTTAATTATTCTAAACCTCTGTATAAAGTTCATCTTGCATCTAATATATTGGGTTTTAAAATTTTAAATTCTACAATGTAAGCTCCAGTGTGTAATTTGTAGCTTCATTTTTCTCCAGTTGTAGATTTATTTTAGAAGGTGCTCTATGGAGAGAAACCCCCTTGAGCTGAGACTACTTTAGGTTGTGGCTAGTGAATAGATCTACACATTGCAAGAAAATGCTTCTTTTTCAGTAGGAAATTTGCAAGAGCTACTCTGGTTCTTGAACATTCAGGCAACTGCTGGAAATAACAATGTTGACAAAGCACTAGGACTAAAATGTCTTGCTTTCAGTTATATTAATTATTTGCACAGGATGGTTTTGCTGAGTTGTCCAGGTAGGAAGAGTTTTTAATTATGCAGGTTGGCTGCAAGCAAAGCATAAAATGTCATTTGGAATTCTGGTGGTTTATTTAACTAAAGTAAAACTTTTAAACTGTGAGTTGTTACTAAATAATATTTGAGAATATTGTCAGAAATACAAGTGTTCAAATGTGAATGTTCTGTGACAAGTTCTCATCGTAAGACTAAACTTGCCATGTAACTCTTGTCTGTGCTTCACATTCACATGCTGCTGACCTTCCATCTCTTCCTTCTGTTCAGTGCTTCTTCAGGGGAAACCTGTAGCCTGCTGTAAAAACAAGGCCTTAAAACAAGCTTCCTGGAGAATTCAGGAAAACACATTATGCTTCAGCAACACATTTGGGCTTTCACAGTGCAGGGGACTTCAGCACCCTGCTTGCTTATTAGCCAGTGTCACATACAGGGTGTCTTCTGTAGTGCTTAGTGGGTCAGCTTTTCTGAAAATTTGTTAAGGTGGAAATGAAATTGTGTTACAGCAAAGTGTTTCTGTTCTGAGTGAGAAAGATTTGGCAAGTGGGAAGGTGATTACAGGAATGGGAAAGAAATTAAACAGTGTCCTGCATCCTGAATTGCTGCAAGGTTGTGAACATACACTGAACGTGATGGATATTAGGCAGCACAGCCTGCAGAGCATTTGAAAATATTGCCTATTAAAAAAACTCTCTTTATGACTTCCTGCTGGGATGTTTTTAAGTAAAATGCAATGGAGAAATTTATTTACAGTTCTGCCTTCTCTCACACCCCCACTACCTCTTTAATGAAGCTTAATGTCATTTATCAGAAATAATTATATACAGATGGAGATTTTCTGACAGATAATGACCTCATTGTGCAAGGTTCTTTCCTGTAATGAAGAATGCCCAGACTTAAATGTCTTTTTTATTTTAGTTTGAAGGTGTCTTTTTCTGTGCGATATTTATTTTGCAGTGTACTCTGTAAAGTATGCACTGCTCTTAGTATAGCTGTGTTCTTCAAAGACTGATGCTTTTCACTGCCATGTGATAACATACAGCCGTGTTCTGTTCTGAACAGAATCAGAATTCAGATTTCTGAACAGAAATCAATTGTATGGGATCTCTGTGATAATCCCTATCCAAGTGTGGGAAAATTGATCTAATCAGGAAGGATTCTTAAGTTTTGTTCCACTCACTTCTCTTTCCTTTCAAGATTTTGAGGAGTCTTGCATCAAGGTGTTTGCCACAGTAAATGAGTCCACAGGGTAAACAGAGGGGACAAAATTGCAGCAAGTCATTTAGGCAGTTGAAGTCTTTCATGTTACAACAGCTGAAGAAAGCCATAGAAATCCCATTGTGGTAAGGTTCATACTCTGTATCAGAGAAAGTGGAAGGGTTTTTGTACTTGTTTTTAAATAGCTATTTCCTTTTTTATCACAGAATGAATTATATAGGAGAAAAGTTCCTTGAACTATATTTTGCAGGAGTTCAGTTTGACAGTATTTTTGTGGTTTTTTTGTTATTGTTTTGATTGCTGTGAGAGTTGCATTTGCATTCCTGAGTGTCTTACATATACAACCAGATTGTAGTGACTTTCCGTCTCCCCGCAGCCTCAGTTCTGAAGAGTTACCTACCACAATGACAGCTGTGCTTTCTTATATCTCTCCCCCTTATAGGTAAAAGGTAGTTCTCAATATTATATTTACAGTCAATGAAAATGTGTTAAATTTTTATACCAAACAGTTCTCAGTATCATTTACAGTCAACAAGAATGTGTTAAAAATTTCTACCCAGACACAACTTCAGTAATTTTTCCCCTCTTTCACATGTGTTTGATCTTTCATGAAATATTACTAATCAATGTTTTGGGTTTTTTTTTTTAAATTGGCTGTTGAAATTGGCGAGGGGGGAATTCTATGGAATTCTTTTTTTTTCCCTCCACGCATACTTCTTGTTGCCTGTTTCTATCCAGAACCTTCAGGTCTCACCAGTTGCAGTAAATTTTCTGAAATAAACTTGCAGACAAAGAGTAATATTGATAGTGGTATAGCTCTAGTTAGTCTAGAGCTGCATGGATTTTACTGATCCATTTCTTAACAGGTAGTTAAATCAGTCTAGTTTTTGTTCCGGTGCTTCTTTATGTGCAGATAAGTTTCATCTGTTCTCATTTTTCCTTCCATCTTCTCCTTTCATTTAGGAGCTCCTAATGGTAGTTATTTCAGCATCAGTCACTATACCAGCCAGTTGCTCTGTCAAAGATTTCCTTTTCATATTGGGTGGGCAAGGTTTTTGATTATTTTTAGCAGACAGGAAAAAATGGATTTGACAATGGCCTTCACTTCTCTATGTCCTTACCTTCAGCCACCAACATTTATTTTTTTTTAAAAAGCAGCTTATTAAGCAAGGTTCTATGTATTTTGGTAGCGAAAAGGTCACATTGCACATAGAAAAATTTTGCTTAGTTTCAGGCCTTCAATGTTTTCTTTGGGGCTGTCACATCATTTTTCTGTCACTGTATGAGCAGAGCTAAAGCTGGTTCTGTGCAGGTTTGAAATTAGCTATGTTGTTATGTGACAGGAGAAATGTCAGTGTGAAGAACACTGAGTCTGGCAACTTGATCAGATTTGGTATTTCAGTAGTTTTTAGCTTCAGCTGACAGGATTTTATTTTAATTGTGTGCTTAACTTTCCTGGCCTTCTTGAATAGCAAGAAGCACTATTGAAAAAGGACAAAAGGAATATACGGTCTTTCTAAAAGAGTTAAATACTTTTCATTCCTGTGTTGAAAATTTATAAGATAAACAAAGATCTGAGCTACTCCTGTGAATGTCAGAAAATACACTGGAGATTTCAGCCCAGAAAGATGGTGATGGTCACTGACCACACCTCACCTCTCTGTGTACTGAATTTTAGATGACCATATACAAAGGTATTTCACAACTGTATGTCTGGATTTTTTTGCTAGTTTCTGTATACCATTCAGAACTTGAGCCATTGCATATCAAAACTAAAACACCTTTGTCTTGCAATTTAAATTTGCAAGATAAGGTTAGAAAAACACCTTATAACATCGTTTATTTTATTAAGGATTTGTGTGCAGTGGAAGCGCTGAAATACCCCCAATTATGGAGTAATTTTAGTGAAGTTAACGTATTGTAAGTGTATTAGTCCTGAGACAAAGACGCAGTAGGCTTCTATAAAAGATACCTAGAAGAAAGGTGAGAGGTTATTTTTCCTACTTCACCTACTGGATGTTTATACTCTGAATTTTATTGCTCGTTGAAGCACGACTATGTAAAAAGCTATATAGGCTACAGCACTCAAAAAGTAATGAATGGAATTTATTCTCTTTGGATTTAAATAAAAATATATGTAGTTTTTTTTCAACATAACTTTGTGGAAAATGGATAAGCAAGTGCATTCTTTGCTTCTTTCTTGCTGAACAGCCTTTTCTGTGATGATATGTGAAAGGTTTCTACCAATTTATAACAACTTCATGGTTTCTCTATTTTGCCTGGGTATTTTGCTACTGGTGAGTAGAGTCCTAGATGACAACTTTTCTATGTATGCTCTGAAAATACTTCATATTTTGAGTTACTATGATGACATCCTTAATTTCAATTTGTGCTTTTTAAGGAGAGTGATTTTTAAAATGGTAGTTGTTCTTGGATATTATTTATCCAATTTATACTTTTGTAGATGCCCTGACTTTGAGAATTCAGCTGCTTATTGCAGTATGAGTCAGCTTTGTATATTCTGTCTTCATTTGTTTTGGGTTTTTTTCAGGATTTTTTCTGGGGGGTGTTTTGTTTGGTTTGGGTTTTTTCCTAATTCAGTCATTGGGGAACTTTTGTTTTCTGGCTCATCTCTGACTGAAACACTTCTGTAAGTAGTAAATGTATAAACAGACCAAACTAGCTGCCTGTTTTTTTCTTGCTTGTCACAAATGGTTGTAGAAAGCAATTTCCTTTGTTGCTAATCTGATTTATTCTCATACCAATTTCTGTGTTTTTCTCTGATTCAAAAGAATGCAGTAACTAGTAAGATTGCGCTGTTATAAGCACATATAAGATAAATGAAGCCTACATGACCCAGT